CAGGTGGGTGATCTGCTGGGCACAGGTGGGCGGAGCTAGTGGGCGCACTGCTGGGCACAGGTGGGCGGAACTTGCGAGTGGCATTGCTGGGCACCGATCATCAGGGCACTGATCATCAGTGCCCTGATGATCGGTGCCGATCCCCGCTCTGACAACTGCCGGTTCTCGGCAGTACTTTCCTCACGATCTGACAGCGTGAGGAAAGTGCAGCCGAGAACCGGCACTTGCATTTCCCTGTGATCAGCGTGTCATTGGACACCGCTGATCACGTGGTAAAAGGCCGGTATGATTGGCCTTTTACCACATCGCGTGATCAGCTGTGTCCGTAGGACACAGCGATCACGGAGATCGCCGGGTGCGCGCCCCCTGGGGCGCGCAGGAGAGCTCGTTCTGGGAGGACGTCATATGACGTCCACTAAGAACTGGCCGGCCGCAGTTTAGCCTGTCATTCGGCTATCTGCGGTCGGCAACTAGTTAAGCAGGTAAAAGGTCTGGAGTTGATTCTAAGTGTGGTATTTGCATTTTGGAATCTATTGCTGTGAACCTCATGTGTTCAAAGGAGCAGTCCATGCAAGTGAAACAGGCCATTGTAAGGCTTCAAAAACTAAACAAATCTATCAGATAGATAGCAGCAACATTAGGAGCAGCCAAATCAACAGTTTGGTACATTCTGAGGAAAGAAGAACGCACTGGTGAGCTCAGCAACATAAAAAGGCATGGACGTCCACAGAAAACAACAGTGGTGGATGATCGCAGGATCCTCTCTATGGTAAAGAAAAGCCCATTCACAACATCCAGACAAGTGAAGGGCACTCTCCAGGAGGTGGGCGTATCATTGTCAAAGTCTACAATCAAGAGAAGGCTTCTCAAGAGCAAATACAGAGGGTTCACTACAAGGTGCAAACCATTCATAAGCCTGAAGAATAGAAAAGCCAGATTAGACATTGCCAAAAAACATCTAAAAATGCCAGACCAGTTCTAGAAAAGCATTCTTTGGATGGATGAAACTAATATTAATCTTTACCAGAATGACGAGAAGAAAAAAGTGTGTAGAAAGCTTGGAACAGCTCATGATCCAAAGCACACAACCTCATCTGTAAAACATGGTGGAGGCAGTGTGATGGCATGGGCATGCATGGCTTCCAGTGCCACTGGGTCATTGGTGTTTATTGATGATGTGACAGAAGACAGAAGCAGCCGGATGAATTCTGCAGTGTTTAGAGATATACTGTCAGCCCAGATTCAGCCAAATGCAGCAAAATTTATTGGACGGCTCTTCACAGTACAGATGGACAATGATTGAAAACACACTGCAAAAGCAACCCAGGAGCTTTTCAAGGAAAAGAAGTGGAATATTCTGCAATGGGCAAGTCAATTTGGGAGGAAACCCAGTCTTTGATAACGTCCATGGGTTCTAGACTTCAGGCAGTCATTGCCAGTAAAGGATTCTCAACAAACTATTAAAAATGAACATTTTATTTATGATTATATTCATTTGTCCAAATACATTTGAGCCCCTGAAAATTGAGGGACTGTGTATAAAAATGGTTGCAGTTCCTAAAATTTGTACTTGATATTTATGTTCACCCCCTGAATTAAAGCTGAAAGTCTGCACTTCAAATTAATTTGGATTGTTTCGTTTTAATTTATTCTAGTGGCACACAGAGTCAAAAGTATGAAAATTGTGCCTGTATCCAAATATATGTATATGTATAATATATGGACCTAACTGGAGCTGGTGGGACAACTCAATATTGAACCCCACGGACTAAGACTGGGTAACCATTAAAGTTCACAGGCGTGTAAAGGCAAACGTCACAATACTTTTGGCAATATAGTGTGTGTGTAAACAGTATAAACAAAGAACACAACCTACTTTCCAAGTATTTTACTTTCATTTTCTTTCTAGTTTCTGCTATGTACAATCTTAACTTGATGGTACTAAGGGCACACAACCCAGAACTAGATTTTGCAGTAAATAATTACCAGCTGAAGTCTCTCCATAATTAATTTATATATACAGTCAAGGTCCATAAATATTGGGACATCGACACAATTCTAACATTTTTGGCTCTATACACCACCACAATGGATTTGAAATGAAACGAACAAGATGCGCTTTAACTGCAGACTGTCAGCTTTAATTTGAGGATATTTACATCCAAATCAGGTGAACAGTGTAGGATTTACAACAGTTTGCATATGTGCCTCCCACTTGTTAAGGGACCAAAAGTAATGGGACAATTGGCTTCTCAGCTGTTCCATGGCCAGGTGTGTGTTATTTCCTCATTATCCCAATTACAATAAGCAGATAAAAGGTCCAGAGTTCATTTCAAGTGTGCTATTTGCATTTGGAATCTGTTGCTGTCAACTCTCAAGATGAGATCCAAAGAGCTGTCACTATCAGTGAAGCAAGCCATCATTAGGCTGAAAAAACAAAACAAACCCACCAGAGAGATAGCAAAAACATTAGGCGTGGCCAAAACAACTGTTTGGGACATTCTTAAAAAGAAGGAACGCATCGGTGAGCTCAGCAACACCAAAAGCCCCGGAAGACCACGGAAAACAACTGTGGTGGATGACCGAAGAATTCTTTCCCTGGTGAAGAAAACACCCTTCACAACAGTTGGCCAGATCAAGAAAACTCTCCGGGAGGTAGGTGTATGTGTGTCAAAGTCAACAATCAAGAGAAGACTTCACCAGAATGAATACAGAGGGTTCACCACAAGATGTAAACCATTGGTGAGCCTCAAAAACAGGAAGGCCAGATTAGAGTTTGCCAAACGACATCTAAAAAAGCCTTCACAGTTCTGGAACAACATCCTATGGACAGATGAGACCAAGATCAACTTGTACCAGAGTGATGGGAAGAGAAGAGTATGGAGAAGGAAAGGAACTGCTCATGAACCTAAGCATACCACCTCATCAGTGAAGCATGGTGATGGTAGTGTCATGGCATGGGCATGTATGGCTGCCAATGGAACTGGTTCTCTTGTATTTATTGATGATGTGACTGCGGACAAAAGCAGCAGGATGAATTCTGAAGTGTTTCGGGCAATATTATCTGCTCATATTCAGCCAAATGCTTCAGAACTCATTGGACGCCGCTTCACAGTGCAGATGGACAATGACCCAAAGCATACTGCAAAAGCAAGCAAAGAGTTTTTTAAGGGAAAGAAGTGGAATGTTATGCAATGGCCAAGTCAATCACCTGACCTGAATCCGATTGAGCATGCATTTCACTTGCTGAAGACAAAACTGAAGGGAAAATGCCCCAAGAACAAGCAGGAACTGAAGACAGTTGCAGTAGAGGCCTGGCAGAGCATCACCAGGGATGAAACCCAGCGTCTGGTGATGTCTATGCGTTCCAGACTTCAGGCTGTAATTGACTGCAAAGGATTTGCAACCAAGTATTAAAAAGTGAAAGTTTGATTTATGGTTATTATTCTGTCCCATTACTTTTGGTCCCTTAACAAGTGGGAGGCAGATATGCAAACTGTTGTAATTCCTACACCGTTCACCTGATTTGGATGTAAATACCCTCAAATTAAAGCTGACAGTCTGCAATTAAAGCACATCTTGTTTGTTTCATTTCAAATCCATTGTGGTGGTGTATAGAGCCAAAAATGTTAGAATTGTGTTGATGTCCCAATATTTATGGACCTGACTGTATATCTGACAGCAAAGTTGCCCAAATTTCGAATAAAGAAAATTTCAGGGACAACTTTTTTCAGGTCAGTGGGAGAAAATATGCTTTAAAAGTTGGTGTAAGAAAGTAATAGACCCCTTTCCATTATCTTCAGCCTAAAATGACTAGTCCCTCTTTACGTCCCCCCACAGAGCACCTCCAGTGCCCGAGTATGCAGTATGGGTGAGCAGCATCTCAGCTCTCTCCTTCCCATCAACTCATTCAATGCCTCTTCATCTCAGTGCTGCCCCAAGACTCAGATGTGCCCCCTAAGGAGACCCCCTAAGGTAAGATCTCTGCATTGCTAAAGATGCCTGATTTATTATTTAATGCTCGTACTTGGTATGTTCCCTTGTGGCTCTCCTGTTTTGTGTGTTATTACAGTCCCCAATTAAACACTCTCAGCCCCCCATGCTCAAAGTTAATTTCATTTTTACCCTCATTGAGCATATAGGTCATTTTTCCATCCTGGAATACATTTCAACTTGAATGCTTTTTCCAAACTCTTTTTAACTTGCCAGTCTTGAATAAACTTCACTTCTTGGTGAGTTGACACTGGTAGTGGATCTTGTTAAAGCGGTATTATACTGAAAATTTTATAAAACGCTGACAGGCAGGGTTTTTATAACAGAAGCATTTCTGTCATAAATGCTCCCCCCTGCTTGTCAGTGGCAATGTATACTGAGCTGCACATGCGCAGCTCTGATTACATTTATGGCACTATTCTGTACCATGATGAAACGATTCTCGTATATGGCAGTGGCATCATCGCATCCCAGCCTTTCAAGCAGCCAAAGAGAGTAAACCAGGAACGAAGACCGGGAGAAGACGGACACACTGAAGCACTGATAGAGCATCACTGGTGGGGCATCCTTTAACAGGTAACAAGGTCATACTAGCACATTGTAGTATAAATCTGCAGGGGACCCGTTTACAACATTTTTTTTTGCATAGTTTAATATATTAAGTCAATAAGTTGCTATACAGTCTGCACAAAATTTGTCTCAGGAGATATGCTTCTTGCATAAACTGACATTTGAAACAAAACGCTCACATGATGGAACCGGCACATTGTATAAATTCATCCAATTTCGAGATGCTGAACAATAAATATAAATTTTAGCTTTATACTTACAGAACACTGTAGCCTCAGTGGCTTTGTGTCAGTAGTAAATGAAGCACAATTTATAGGGTCAGGATCGGCCCCATCATTCCACTGTGCCAGCTTGCAGTTGTAATAGGTAGTAACACCGGCTGCCATCAAAGCTTTCTGTACATTTTCTTCTATCGTGTAGTTATTAAAGCAAGTGATGTTCGATGTTAGTGGAGGCTGTACCAAATGGATGCGAACACCACTAATTCCTATTGATAAAAGTGTGGAAACTGTTGTGTATGCATCAAGTGTGTTCCCATATACAATCACATTACCTGGAAAATACATAAAAATATAGAGAAAAAAATAATTAAAAGGCAGAGATGAACCATATTGGTATAACAGAATTTTTATGATACAGGTTTGCTCTAAGTGACCCTATTATTTATCTGACGTTGGAAGCAAACAGTGTTGCCTAGCAACTCCAAACTAGAAAATCTAAAGGAGAATCTGAACAAAACATCCCACAAAAGTAGAGTGTGCTTAGCCTAGATGAATAGCATTTGGTAATTTCCAAAATAAAAAGAAATATCCTTTTCAACAAGAGTACAAATTTCCATAGATTGTACTAAAGAACAGACCATTTAATAGATGCATTTGGATCTATAGAAAGGGTGCAGCTCAACTAGTGTACATTCATTACATCGCAGCTCGATTGACACCGTAACAGGCAGTGAGCATATACTGCCTGCAGAACAGTACACGGTGATCATGGTCCTCTGTAGAAGAAAGTAACGTTTATCATTTTGCACATTGATACTTCAACACACCTATGCACATACTCTTACATATTGATACCAAGCAGTAAATGAGCTTTAAAACAAACCATCCCTGACCTCTCCAGATGCTTTAGGGACCCTTTCACACAGACATCCCATTAATGTGCTCTTAAACGATGCTTACATGGTCAAAAACGGATTGCAAGCTATGGGTTGCTGGTTGTAAGTGGGCATGTGCCTGCCTATAGCTGCCCACATACAGGTCCATTCAGTTTCACCAGAACAATAGGAACAGAATTTGCATCCAGGTCTGCTTTTACAGACCTAAACTAATTTGAGTGGATATGGGGTGGACACATGCCCGCTTACATTTGGCCACCCACAGGGATTACATAGATCCTGACAAAAAAATCGGAACAGAAACAGATGTTCCATATGGAACATTTAGGATCCTCTGCTGGGATAGAATAGGGGGGTGTGGGATACCCATGTAAAAGGATCTTTCATCTTGAAAAACCACAACAAACCAAGTGAAAATCAATTAATGTACGAATATACCTAAGCAGAATAAAATATACAGTTGTGTTCAAAATAATAGCAGTCAGACATCACTAACCTGATCAATCACTGTTTTTGGTAGAAATTATATTTCTACATGGCAAATAATTTACTAGCAAGTGTAGTACAGTAATAGAAATCCAACAGACCCAACAGTCATGACATGCATGCTGCTGATTCTGTGTAATTGAATCACTAATTGAAAGGGGCATGTTCAAAATAATAGCAGTGTGGAGTTCTATTAGTGAGGTCATTCATTCTTTGAAAAACAGGTGGCAATTATTGCCCTTATTTAAGGAAGGAAGGCAGCAAATGTTGTACTGCTCTGATTCTGAGGAAAATGGGTTGTTCCAGACATTGTTCAGAAGAACAGCATACCTTGATTAAAAAGTTGATTGGAGAGGGGAAAACATATAAAGAAGTGCAGAAAATGATATTCTGCTCAGCTAAAATGATCGCAAATGCTTTAAAAAGGCAATCAAAACCTGAAAGACGTGGAAGAAAGTAAAAAAACTACCATTCGAATGGATAGAAGAATAGCCAAAATGGCAAGGACTCAGCCAACAATCAGCTCCAGGAACATCAAAGAAGGTCTAAAGTTATCTGTGAGTACTGTTACAATTAGAAGATGCCTATGTGAAGCCAAGCTATCTGCAAGAAGCCCCCGCAAAGTCCCACTGTTGAAAAAAAGACGTGCTGAAGAGGTTACAATTTGCCAAAGAGCACATTGACTGGCCTAAAGAGAAATGGCGCAACATTTTGGTGGACTGATGAAAGTAAGATTGTTCTTTGTGGGTCTAGTGGCCGGAGACAGTTTGTCAGATGACCCCCAAACACTGAATTCAAGCCACAGTACACTGTGAAGACAGTGAAGCATGGTTGCGCAAGCATCATGATATGGGGATGTTTCTCATACTACGGTGTTGGGCCTATTTATTGCATACCAGGGATCATGGATCAGTTTGAATACATCAGAATACTTGAAGAGGTCATGCTGCCTTATGCTGAAGAGGAAATGCCTTTGAAATGGGTGTTCCAGCAAGACAACGACCCCAAACACACCAGTAAACGTGCAACATCTTGGTTCCAGACCAACAAGCTTGATGTTACGGAGTGGCCAGCCCAATCCCCGGATCTTAATCCAATAGAAAACTTGTGGGGTGACATCAAAAATGCAGTTTCTGAGGCAAAACCAAGAAATAGAGAAGAACTGTGGAATATAGTCCAGTCATCTTGGGCTGGAATACCTGTTCACAGGTGCCAGAAGTTGGGTGACTCCATGCAACACAGATGTACAGCAGTTCTCAGAAACAGTGTTTATACAACTAAATATTAAGTGATTTAAAGGAAAGCAAAATCTTCAAACATTTTTCAGTTTATATAGTGAATGTTTGAGTTTGTAAAGAAGAATACAAACACTGCTATTTTTTTGAACAGTCTAATATTCACTTTTCTTCAATTTTTTTAGAGGAACAACACACAATTGATATATTTTTCTTCATGTTTTGATTTGGAATAGAATGTGTAGTGTTCCCAATACATTTGTGTGTATGGAAAAAAAAAGCTATTAGAAGGATTTTGAGCTTTATTCACTTTTTTCAACACACTGCTATTATTTGGAACACAACTGTATTTCTGCTGTGTTTACATCAATAAAAATAATTTAAGAATGAAAAAAAAACAATGAATTAAACAAATAAAGTACAATCAAAAGTTAATTCATTAAATTATTCATAAAACCTATTTGAAAAATAAAGTCCACACCCTGTGTCCACAAATAGCCCAAAGGGCTGCTCCTGAAAGTTGTTTTGTAAATGAAACGTGTATACGAGCAGGGCTTGTGGCCAGTGACTACAGTTTGCCCACTGGTGTACAACAGTGTGGTGTTTGACGTTTTTCACATGTGATATTTGTGAGTACCTTATATTTGTGTAATCAGTAAATTTATTTTTATTGATGTAAACATAGCAGAAATATATTTTATTCTGCATAGATACAGTCTCTGACTAGTTTTCATGTGGTTTTGTGCACTGTTTTGGTTTTATAGTTAAAACAGAAGTGTTGGATATTTTTGTTTTGCCCAATCATACTTACCTAGATGGATGCAGCATTGGCACTATGCTGCATATGGCCCCTGCTGGCTCTAAGGGTGAGAACTCTGCGATCACGATTGCTGAGTTCTCAAAGCTGCTCTAAGGAGAGAGCGGGACTGTCAGGTACAGCTCACTGTGAAGGGGGAGGGTGAAGGTAGCTCGGGCTCTCAGAAGATCGCTGTGAGGCTGAGCCAGGTGCCGCTCCACATTCTGGGATGGATCCCGACTTTGAAGATCTGGATCTTTCCCCAGCCTGGACCAGCTGAGTGACATCAGCCGACAGCAGGCTCCAGCCTGCTGTCAGAAGATAATGGGTCACAGGGCTGCAGAAGAACTGCATTCCTGTGATCAACAGGAGTACAGCCAATAATATACCTGTATCCGGATATACAGTATATAGTGCTGAAATTTTTCAGTTCGCCAAGCGCATTCAATTTTCTGTTTTATAAAATGAAACAGATAATTGATTATTTTATAAATTGAATAATTACACATAACTTAATTTCTGAACGTATTTGTTTTGGTTTCTTTGTATGTATGGGTTGCATGGGTTGTTACCGAAATGTGGTGAAAATCTCATGTTAATAGCACTTTATAGAAATATATTTACCTAGAAGTATTGAACACATCAACATTTTTCTTTTACCTGTTTTATATATGTGTGTCTCTTTCCTCTTGATGCTCTCTATCAGTCAAAGAGGCAATATTCACATTAAAGAATGAAAAAGCTAGGGAGTTGTAAATGGGCAGACTTAACCTAACCTTTTGCAAGACGTTTACCAATGACGATCTTTGCATCTGATGATCTTGACTTACAGTTTTTACTGATGCCTCGCTCATAAAGAAATAGATATACATACTACACATTCCCTCCACTACAGAAAGGACTATGAGAGTCCAGCAACAAATAAATATCCATAAATCGTTAAATAAATTGGGCAAACAATGGTAAACAATATTAGGTTTACAGTTACACAAAACCAAATGATTCTTATTCAAACAACGATTTGGCAAGGGAACCACCCACCATTTATAAGAGGGAGAGGGGCTGCCTTGACCATAGGCCACTAATTTTGGTATGGCCATACCACCTAGGTCAGGGTGTGAGCCAAAATCACCCTTCACTGAAGCTGAAGTGGGAAGAATTGGCATTTCTTGAGTCCTTCATAAGGTGAAGGATTCAAGATAGTAGAGGGTATAGTCTCCTCTGAACTTTTGCCCAATGAATTGTGGATGGTAGAGGGTATCGTCTCCTCTGAACTTTTGCCCAATGAATTGCAAGTCAGTCTTTTTGGAGGGAAAATAACCCTTTTTGGTATTTGTTATTTTGCTTCTGATAGCCTTTCTGCTGTAGCTCCTAATCTAGCTCCAATAGTGGCTGAAAGGTTTCTGTACTTTCAGCACACAGTGGGATCGGAAAGTCCTCCTGACTTTCTGGTTAGTAAGTCTGTGGTATGAGTTCAGGGGCTTCAGGCCTGAGGATCCCCGCATTGGTTGGGCGGCATCCATGGACGCAGATGGCTACAACCACAACCAGTCCATGTAGACATCTTTCTCCTCTTAAAGCTCTTTTTTCAGGTGATCCACATATCTTTAAATCTATGTCACTATGTCACAGATGTCTGATCAAAGGACATGTCAAATGCTAAGTGAGCTTCCAACTGGGCTTTTCAAACATGAGCATACTGTATATGGGGAGTACTCTGTGGCACCATTTTTGAGGCTGTTGTAAGTATGCTGAGATGTGCCTGCTCCAGTGTTGTTTCTTCTCCATGGTGAAGGTCCCATGCATGTCAAGAAGGGTGTAGTTGAATCTTTCAGGCTGTGGATCCCCTTGTGGATGGTAGAGGATAACTTTTGAACACCAAACAGTTCTAGCAGCTTCTTTATTAGTCTGCTTTCAAA